AAAAAAAAAAAAGGTTCTTCTTGTTGCATTACTTCTAATGCGGTGACTGGGCAGTGATGCAAACAACACAATTCCTGCTGATACTTGTCAAAACCTTACAAGGCTGAACTCTGCATCCCTCTTCAGGAAACATCAAAAACAACATACAGACAAGATCTATTTCAAAGAGACTGTTGTTGAAGAGGAAATAAAGGTGGCGATGAAATGAGAAGACTCTGGCAGAGGATCACACAGAAACGGCACGGGTTCATTAAACAGGGTTTCAGTATGGTTGTGCATATTCAGAGACAGAAGCGGTTTGCATTACGCTTAAAAAACAAGATATTTTAGATTTCTTATCTTTCACCCATCAAAGAACAAAAAAAGAAGAATGTAAAATATTAACTTTCTTAGTGTGACAGTTGTGATATATTAGTTGGCAGTTAAAGAAGAGATTACAAGCATTTTTTTTTTTTAAAAAAGCAAGGATTTAGACATTTATGAACAAGAAATCTCTTTCCTCCTAAGAATTTAAACGCATCACTCTCTGCACTGTGGATAGAGCTTTCATGACTGTGAACATTGTCCCTTTAAAAGAGTTGAGGGTATGTGTGTGATTGAATGTATTCACCCATTAGACTTTGTAGCTGTGATGCACTCACTCAGCTGTATGCATCACTAACAGCTAACAGTCCCCTGCTGCTAGCAGGCTTTTAGACTGAGAGAGGCTTTACAGTTCTGCATTTTAATAGAGAACTTTGAATGGAGTGACGGGGGATGGGTGAGAGAAAGCGAGGTGGGCTGGGGGGAGGAGGAGGGAGCCAAAAGGAAAGAGGCATCAAAATATTTTCAGAGGAAAATGAAGTAATGACAAAATACCCACCCGGAGCGTGCAGAGCAGAGGGGGTTTCTGGGAAGGACTGCCTTGGCAAGGGTAAGGCTAATGTGTCAAAAGAAAAGTCTGTAGGCACACTGAGCGCTGTCATGTCTCAAAGTGTGGGCCATTCAAAGGAAGAAGGAAAAGGTCCAAAAAACCCGTATTGAACATCTTAATTACTTTCTGCTTCAGCACAGAAAGCACACCCCTGAAAAGGTTCAATTATGAGATATCAAGGCAAATCAGATGCCCTCGCAGTGGCTGTTTCCTTATCCCTCAATGGAGCTGGGTTAAGCAATTATAACTTGATACTGTCTACTTGTTTTTAAAAGGAGACCTGGAGAGGCATCGATGTAACGCACTGTTACACAGTGAGATACATTGAGTCTTTAAAGAAGAGAGTGGTAAGGAAAATGAAAGTTTGAAAGAAAGAAGAAGAAGAAGAAAAAAAGTGGATACATTCATACCAAGGATAATAATTTATCCATAACAGAACAACACTTTAATCATTTTTTTTTCTCTGGGTGTGTGTGTGTGTGTATGAAACCTGCTGGCTGGCTCGTGTCAACCGAGTCAATCCGGTGGCATCGCTACTGAAACAGAACATTACTGACTCACACTGTTTTTCTCAAGCCTGAAAGAAAACCTGACTGAAAGAAGGCAAGAAAAATCAGTAGGTTCCACTGAATCCCTCAAGGCCTAGAATAAAATATTTAACTCGCTAAGCCCACACAGAACATTACACCTGAAAACATCTGCCAAGGTAGAGGGAGTTAGCGACCCAGAAGACTTACTAGCACCAACTAGGAAAGAGCTATCAAAATTCCAGATTCTGACAACGGCAAAGTTAAAAAGGCATATTTTGTCATAAATAAAACATAGGAGTGCAGCATTTCGGAAAAATCCCCCAACGAAAGGTCCCGAGAGAGCGATGGGATGCTGTTTGTGAACTCACGCTTCGCACAGTAAAGAGGGCTATAGCACTGCGTCACCACGACTCAAACTACATTCCCGCATCCAGCCCTATTCAGCGAGGACTAGTCCTCTTTAAAAATTCATTAATTTACAGCAAAAATAGATTAAAGCGCCCAACTGCACCAACCTAAAAAAGTTTGGCTTGTGAATAGCATTAATAATGGAAGCAAGCATCCAAAAACCTAGAGGCCCTGGCTTGGAGGCATGGCTTAGGTTTTGTTGCACTTTATAATGGAGAGTCATTTACATTTTTTAGAAGTATTACAGCTTTTTGATGCTTGTTTATAATTGCATTGTTTTACATGCAAATTGGCTAACAATTGTTACTCATTAAAACCTAACCAGAGTAGCAGAGCGCTCTCAGCTTGTGCAAGATGCAAGCTTTACATCAGGTTAGCAGTGGAAGCTTTGCATCTCTCGTCTTGCAGGCAACGCTGCTGGCGAGTTCAATCCAAATGACGGCCCTTTAAAAGTGATCATCCCCTATCTTATCTTTTACTTATCTTTCTTTTTTCTTTCCCCCTCCAAATCATAGCAATGCTTTTACTAACAGAATCAAAGAGGATTTTGACAAGATAAAAGGATTTGCTACATTCGAATTCAAATTATGTGTACTTTCCTGGGGACATGACAAAAAATCACAGTGACTGGGAGCACTCAGGGAACTTAGAGGGACTTAAAAAGAGAGAAAGTCTGCTCTAATGCCTTGTCGAAAATATCGCCTTCTCAGCCAGACGACGGAGACCGCCGCGTTAGATCGCCAAACATCATCTGCGTACGTAGATCAGCCAAAACATAAAAGCAACTAACAGGGGAAATGAACAGCTATCAAGTATGACTAATAATCATCTCATTACAATGCAGCGTAATGCTGGGAAACCTCAGTTCCTGCATTCATGTGTATGTTACTTTCAAATATACCACCCACTTAAAAATGATTGCAGACCATGCTCCCTCCCCTTTGCTACAGCAAAAGACAGCACATCAGCACATGACGCCTCGCCACATCGGCATAAGAGCTCAGAAGCGCTCAAGGAACACCACAGAGACCCCGAGGCTTTCAAAGCTCCCCAGATCCAAATCAGATCAAGCAGGATGCTCAGGTACAAGGCTGATGGGGTGGTGGTCACCCCAGTTTTAATCTTGTGGCTAATCAATGTATAGCAGCCAGGGCATGACGCTTTTCATATCTACGGGTAACATCGGGTCATCTAAACAATCACTTTAATTATTTAAACAGTTGATTATTGATTTGACCGGAGGTAATTAAAGTGACCTGATGCCCTAGTAACGCAGTAATGGCCTGGTAATTACAGAGGCAGATTAAAGGGTTTTCTTGCTAAACCAAACGAGACCACCTCCTCACCTCTTTTAATAGCTACTGCCACGCTATCTTCGAGCAAGGCAGCTAAATTACAACCCCTCTAGCGGAAGTGTCCACGATAAAGAGTGGAAGATGGCTCTCAGGGATCAATCTGTGTAACAGAGGAGCGTGGGTGTCTGTGTTTGCTAAAAGCATATTGTTACTTATTAAGTTCTTCATTAAGCAAACAGATCTTTCCAGGGTTAAACACCGACCGTCTTTAACAGCACATACGTGTAATAAGGCGAGCACACAGTGTGTCTGCTTACAGGCGTCAATGCTGCTGTAAATTCAGGCAAAATATTTTTCCACAGCATGTCAAAGAGATTGGATTTTTACTTATGAGCTGCAAAAAAAAGAGAAAAAAAAGACTGAAATAATGCGTGCTAACACTGATCATGCTGGGTTTAATCAATAAAGCAAAACTCTATATGAGCACCGCCCAGGCACCAGGATGCTGGGATTGATTCTACACCAATCTGCAAGAACAATAAAACCACCTGCCTCATGCGTAAAGTTGCCGCTTGTCCCGACACAGCGTTTCCCACAGATTCTATTTGTGGCAGTAGCAGCGGGGCTTTTCTTTTTCTGTTAATGCATTATTAATTAATAGCGCATATAAGGTGCCTCTCCGCAAACACTTTAATTGCCGCTTTCTGACAAATAAATATCGAAGCAGTATATTTAACTGCCTCTCCAGAGAGCGTTTCATCCCACTGACAGACTCCCAACTCTTCTGACTCCAGCTGTCGATCGTAGTTCTTGTTCTGCTTTGCAGTTCTCCGCCTGCAGCAGACTGGCTGGTGTGGCTCTCCAGCTCGCAGCAGAACAAGGAGAACCATCGGCTGCGGTCTAAGATGGTGGAGTCGGAGTAGATCTGACCGCAGGACAAACTTACTAGAGAAGCTGAATGATATCGAAGATGCCGCAACAGCGACATCATCACCCTGATGGTAAGGGGAAAAAATGAAATGGGAAGAACTGGTTAGCAGTGACTGAACTGTTGAAATCAGAGCAGTGAGTACATCACAGATGGTGGTTTTCGGTGGAATGGATGAAAAGATTCAAATAAAAATGTTAAGATGAGACAAGATTCAACTTAACAGCCCACTTTGGACACAGAATCTCTTGAGCTGCCCTGTAATGTCTCGCTGCCGGATGTGGGGCCTCTCCATGATTTGCTCCCCAACATCCCGCTCACCCTTGATGGGACTGGGACCTCCATTTGGGATTGGGTTGTGCTCTGGGCCGACTGTGCTGCTGGGAGAAGCGCTTGCTGTCAGGGAGAGTCATCACTGTGTCGCAGTGGTCGGTCTGAAGCAATGTTTAGGTGTGGGGTATGTGTCAAAGTAATGTCAACACCAGGAGTGCCAGGACTCAAGGTTTCCCAGCACAATACTGCACTGCGATGAGTGTTATTCACTTTTTTCTGTCAGCAGCTTTAATGCTGAGGATGTGTGTATGTGTACTGTAATTTTTCTTTCTTTCTTTTTTTAATTCAACAGGGTGACGCAAAAAGACCAAGTGTAGGTTTCTTAAGAGATATAAACTGCTTAACAAAGCCCACTTTTGTCGCAAATTTGTGGGAAGTTCTGCGTCTCAAACTCCATCACGTTTTAATTGGGAGGCAAATCATTCTTGGCAGACACTGAGAAGAAAGCCTGGCTGCTCAACACGTCTTGTGAAGTCACGCAAAAAGAATATATTACAAGTCATAATGAATATGCAGACAGACAACATCAAAATTTTGACAGGCAGATACGATTTGAAAACTGGCATATGGAGTTCATCTTTATCAAAGAGACTGAAACGCCTGTAGTGCATCCACAAATAGCCCGTTAATTCAACTTTCAAAAAGTCATTACTACACTCGGTTCTTGGCATTGCATTTGCTGACATTGACGATAATTACAACGACCTTTCTGATGATAAAACACAAATCAGTAAAACATTATGAAGGGTTCCTTCTCGCCACGTTTCATGAGATTCTGCATAACGTTTTAATGAGGCATTTAGGGGTCTATGAGTGATCTACTGAGAAAGTCTACAATGGCAATCAGCAGTGAGTGTGGCAGCTGTTCAGCAATTAAAAAGCCAAATTACCCTCAATCAACACCATTTACAAGCACAAGTAAATCTCAGAGCAAATAATGATGAGAGAAATCTGTTCAGACAGCTCTCATCTTGATAGGAATTAGAGACGCATCCAAATCAGGAGCAGGGCTTTCTCTCTCTAACGCTTCCTCAGTCTGTCACACGAGCACGCGCGCACACACACAAACCCCAACTCCCCTTGTCTGAATATTTTTGGCGAGATGAAGTTGTATAGTACTGGCTAGCTAAAGATACTGCAGCATAATGTAAGACAAAGAGTCCTGTCGGTATTAGACGGTTACCTTTGATGTTAAAGCTATGGTGTCTTCATGGGCAGCCTATAGAAAAGAAATCCACAGTGAATGAGCAAAACTGGACCATGACCAAACTCAGCTCGCTGGAAAACTAAAGAAAAGTCATCTGCATGCATGGCTCAAGGGCAGCTGTGTCTGCATCAGCTAAACTGTTAATATCTTCAAGTAGCTCAAATCATTTATTTTAAAGTATTCAGTAAATTCATACTCTCCCTCTCAATATATATAAAGTATATATCAGGGTTAGGTCTTTTTTTTTTTAAGTCTTAATACAATATACATTAAATCCTTAATACATTCTCTTAAACTTGACACGGAGAGGCTCTGAAATCCACGACCGAACAAAGACATCAGCATCTACAAACACTGACAGACAGCTTCTTACTGACACACTGCCAGTGTTCATATAATCTAAACTTTTATAAAATACCTCACGCTGTTAAACAATACCAATTACAAGGAAAAAGGCTCATTTTTCCTTATACTACTTTTTCCTTCCATTGTTATGTGAGCTACAAGATTAATGTGTTTTGTTAATGCACAACTGATTCGCTATTATATATATTTATATATCAAACATAAAGCAATTGAACTGCTTTATGGATAGACCACTGCATCACTGTGGAGCTCAGCTTTCTGTAAGCCTCTGCTGCGAGGCTTCATGCTTCCCCTGTTATCACTTCAAAAGTCTTTTATTTTAAATCTCTGGCCGGCACTGTCCTCCGCGTATTGCGCGTCCCGTACAATTCACTGCTTGGATAATTGTTCTATTAAGCACCACTTTCCTAACAGTCTTGTAAGCAGACAGCCTGGCTGTGCCGACGGGAGCATCGAGATAATAACTTAGGGAAGTTGACTTTATCCAGCAGACGTGGTATAACGGCACAATGCAACGCTTGCATGCATTCATATTGTCACAGACAGCGAACTTGTCATGGCCTGCCGTTAAGTAAAAAACAAAAACAAAACAAAAACCGCTGGCTTTGAGCACCACCGCTGTGCGATCATTTGTCCCAAATCCTAATGAGCAACATATTCAAACATTCTTGTGAACGGACTACTCACCGTCGCACGCGAATACGAGAACCGGCTCAATTTGTGCACTCTGCTTCAAGCAGCTCCAGACGCTGTTCTGCACTTGAAAATCCCCTTCGAAGACAGACACACACATAAAAAAAAGCTCCTGTGGTGCCTTTGCGCTGTCACTCTGGCTGCGTGCGCACGGCGCTCTGCAGGCGTCAAACTGACCGCTGCTGTGGTCAGTCGACAAGTCAAGACTGGAGGACTCGACCCGCTATTCGCATTTGCGCTCATCAACGCAAAGATCCCGGGTCTCAGTGCTCCGCTCGGCTGCTAAACCACCGGAACTACTTCCAACGCCAGCCGGAGCACGTTGAAGATAAATTCATGCACCACAATAGGAAAAAAATGAAATCAGATCCATTTAACTAGTTCCCGGTTTTAATATTAATGAGATTCCGCCAGGACATGCCTACCACTGCTATGACTAAAATAAACGCCTAACATATAATTAGAATAGACATATGATTTTAAAAATAGAAGCCCACTGTGCCGTGTATATTTGTTAAATGAGCCTGTTATTGTGGGATACAGTTCTTATCGTTAATACAGGAGCACGCCAGTGACTTTGACGCTTTCATTCCGGTTGGATACAACTAAAGAAAGAGGCTGCCCGCACCTTCCACACGCCACAAAACTCCAAATTATCTTAGACAAGCAAACATGCTTCAGTATGTTTCCCTGTCTACTTTGTGGCAGTGCAGGAGCTAGATAATTGCATTTAGTGGCGCTTCAGATCACGCTGTTCTGCTCCAGAAACAAATTTGGGGCTTTGTGGTCATGTCTTATCTGTGATAGGTATTCCCCAGTTTAGACTGGATGCCGATAATTTGTTGATTATGAGAAAGACTTGCATGCAGACACAGCGCACCCACCTGGAGAGGACAACAGTTAAAGCAATTTGTTGAAACGGAATCTTTTATACCTATATATACATATTTATATGTTTGCCATCTTTTCATTCAAATTTCAGTTTCCTGCTGCTAAGTCGTTGTGTTACGCGTATATAAGTGCAGATACACAGCGATTACAAGTTACACAAATGATTTTCTACCAGCATCCCAACATGTTTGTTTGAGACATTGCCCATCAGCTGTGCGGTCACATATATGTCTGTGAAGGTTCTCAGTCATCCAGGTCATCGTAGTCACATATACCTCACTTCTGAGACTCAAAACACCAGCCAGGCTTCTTTATCACTGTGAACAACGGCTTTATCTGTTACAGTACATCATGGTATTTTCCATCAACTGTACAGTCTTGCTCCCTTATGGACACTGCGAGAGTGATCAGCGCCGGGCTTATAAACGACTCACTGCTGCACTCCTCTGGATGATGGGGCTGATTGCAATGGTTGATGGGATATTTTGTCAGAGCCTGGGCACTGTGAAGGAGCAGCGGCTGTACACTGTTGCCCTTTTACTCCGTATATCTGGATGATAGATAGATAGATAGATAGATAGATAGATAGATAGATAGATAGATAGATAGATAGATAGATAGATAGATAGATAGATAGATAGATAGATA